GTGTGTGTGTGTGTGTGCGCGCGCGTGCATTTTGGATATGAGATATTTATTTTCAACCATATCAAGGCACATAAATAAAATTGCCAGAGTTCAATCCAAGCACTACATCTGCCAATACTTTGATGAAGCAGAGAGTTGAGTAGTCCCAGTTTCGCTCTCCATTTCCCCACTAATCTTTTATCTCTCTTCACCCCATCTACCCTGTAGCAAACTTAGAGACCACTGGGAAGCAAAAACAGCAGAAACTGGTAGAGGAGGCTACAGCAGCAGAGACCCTTCATTTGAATGCTTAAAAATGCAGTTGGAAGGGACCTTCAGATGGCGCCTTGGCAATGCATCCTCCCCTAATCCTTCAGTTTTTATGTATTTTAAATGCTACCTTCGTGACATCGGCAGGAGCATGCTGTTTTTGTCAGAACAAGGAAAGCAGCATCAGGGTATGACGCTGCAAGCTTCACCCTTTCGTACTTTTGTGCAGTGCACAAAAGGAGCTGGCTTGCATCGTGATACCATGACGCTGCTGTCATCATTCTGCCCCCACCCGCCCTTGCCATGCCAGCTATCTCTTAAAGCCTAATGAAATTGTACAGCAGCCATCAGACAGTGTAATCATATTCATAGCTGCTTTCCAGCTGTCTACAGCAATGTTTCTCAGCCTTGGCAACTTTAAGATGTCTGGACTTCAACTCCCAGAATTCCCCAGCCATCACACATCTTAAAGTTGCCAAGGTTGAGAAACACTGCTCTACAATATTTAGTGGCAATGCAGTGGCTGGAAAGGAATGCTACTAGGAAGCAAGGATGGCCTACACTGTTTGGTCTTGGTTTTCAGCTGCTCAGTCATGTATATGAGATAGGCAGTTGGATAAATCTAATAAACAAACAAACAATCCTTCCCCTAGAAGAGTAGATTCAGAATAATGTTATTATTTTCAACAGAGAACACTACTTTGATCTGCACAATCTATTTATCTTCCTCCATATTTTTCAAACTGCATCAAAAGGTATTTGTGTATCCACCTTATGACTGGACTTTGTTTTTATTGATTGTCTCCATGATAGCTGGTCTTATTAATGGAAACTGCTGAAAACTCATGTGTCAAAATACCAAATAAAGATACTTATTTTTCTAACACCTCTTCAAAAATAATTTTCCCTATAAGTAAGTGTGTAATTTAAGCTTCTTTAGGTGCGTCTGCATTATTCAGTGTCAATGCTGCTCACTCATTCTTTATATTTAAGAAGCCAGAAACCATTACTTTTCCTGATTAGATAATGGTTAAATGTCAACTTTTCTTTTCTTTTTAAAATGTCTATGTTAATTGTGACATAATCCTTTTGGCGGGGGGGGGGGCTGACATCATTACTGTTACTTTACTTTAGGCAGAGGAATGTGTAGGGAACCAATAGCAAGACAGCTCTCTTTGGGAGAAATAAATATACCCAGATCTTAAATAGAAGGCAAGGAGGAAATATAAATCTAAATATACATACCCTACAGATAAATAGTCATGCACAGAAGGAAAGCATGAGGAGGTGGGGAGATGATATAGTTGACCAGGCTTGGGTAGGGCACCATCCTGTTGCAATCACTCAAGCAGAAATCTGCTGCAGGTTTCATTGTGCAGGCTCCCTGTGGAAGCAGCAGCTGTTCTCACCCTTGGAGGTTGTGTACTCTAATTCCCCTCCTTGGAATCCCCATACAGCAGCAGAAGGTGCAGCCCCTAAAGCACATGCTTGTCTTCCATTCTGGAAGTGGGAAGGGTGGTGAAGGGTGGGTGGGATTGCACCTCCTTCTTTGGCTCCAAGCAGCTTGGAAGAAAATGGTGAGAAAGGGAGCATCAGTCTTCTCCCTTCCCCCAACCACCTAATCTCAGAGAAAGAAGATTCCTGCTCCTCCTTGTTCTGATCACCTAAACAGCCAAAATCATTCAGATTTGGGGTTTCATGAGTTGGAGCTGGAGCATCCACAGCCTCAAAATAGCATAAAGGGGAGTGAAAGGAAAAAGCAAAGTTACAGGATATTGAAGTAAGCTTTCCACTTAACCACTAGGAATACCAACCTTATGGAAGGCCCACATATGGTCTTTCATGAGGTCAGTATTTTCTGACCTAAACAAAATACACAACAAGAAAAGACTAGCTGTGTAAGAGAGGACTCTCGTCTCTCTGGCCATGGTGGTGCAGAGTCTGAAGGAGCTCTGCAGAGGGCCAGTTGGAGCCCAGTAGATCACCTAGCTCAGGAGATTTTTCTTCCATGCTTGCTAGAAAGTTCATATGGGAGGTGTCCTGTTTTCACAGAGGAAGAAATGGCTTTCAAGGTGGTATACCTTGACTAAGTTCAGCTTGCCCCAGCAAAACACTGGCAATGAGGTAAGGGAACTGCTATGAAGATATGTGCCTAACCACACCATAAATAAGTATCAGTGAGATGGGCAAGGAGCCCACAAATATAATTGACCTACAAGGGACACAATGGGCATACTTTATATGGGCATGACAAAAAAAAAAAAGATGGTTTAGGTGGGGAGGCTTGCACAAAACAGATGCATTTAAACATTTTATCATCACAATATCAGATTCCGCCGGCGCAGCACGGCTAGGGACTTGCTCAGCTACGCCAAGTCAATTTCACTGCCCGGGCGCTAGCCAAGGAAAAGGGGAAGTGAAACCCCGCGAGCTGATTACAGACAGGTGGCGGTGCTTAACTCAAAACCGCAAGCAAGGGCAC